TATATATGAGAAATATTTGAATTAATATTTGTATTTTTGTCAGTCCGGCTCAATCTTGATCAGAAGTATGAATGTGTGTAAGTTTACACCAAGTGTATGGAAGTTTAGTTAAAACGTTGGCATACTTATATTGGCTAAAAAAACGTTTACTGTCTAAAAGAATTATTTGAATTACAATGGTAAATCAGATATATGAATGAGAACAGGTGTATGAAAATGGCCCAGGAAACTATTACTGTCTATGAGAAATATTTGAATTAAAATAGTGAAAATTAAATTCTTGTCAATCCTGCTCAAATTTGATCAGATGATAATTTTTCAAATTCAAATATTGTTACATAGTCATAAAGGTTGGTTAGGATCTCATAATTGCGGAGTAATTTGGTGGGATTTTCGTTAAGCAAAACCAAAAAATAAATGAAATATAGTCATACGGCTAACCAGAAAAGTACTAATCGTCACATACGTATGTGTAGCATAAATATTTCAGTTTCCGTAGTCAGATATAACCAATATTTAGTAAATATAGTAAATAAATATATAATAGAGTAAATATTTTTTTCAATATGAGTTATTTTGATTTTTAGGTGACAAGATATATATATTATATTACATACTTGTATATTATCATTATTCTTTATATAGACGCTTGAGCCTATAAAATCAATAACCCATGTACATATATAATACCAATGTAAGTTTTTGCATAATATTTTCCCTTAACAATTCTAATAAAATAATGACCAGTTGCTGTTAATTAATAAGAAAAAACCAGCAGCGCTGAAATGCAGATTAATTGCATAAAAACACGCAAATTACCATTACAGCTACATATGTACATACATACATACAAAACATATAAACAATGCAATGTACTAGTATATGTGTGCGATTGAGCGCGCCGAACAACGAACTTTGCTGCACACCACACACTCAATACAAAAGACTCAAGCAACGAACTTCTTTAGACCAACTGCAGTTTGCTGCTGTCTTACTCATACACATACATACACAAAAAAAAAATAATATTTCAGAAATAAAAACATGACTAATGCACAATATGCGCTGTTGTTGTGTTGTGTGAATGCAATTTCTCTCACATTGTCTGCTAAACTATGTAAGCGAGTATTCGGTATTTATTTAACACCTCCCACAACTATAGCTCGTCTACCAAAACAATGGCTTAGGCAACGAACTCATTGCGGCAGCGACTCAGCTAATGATTATATTAATTAAATTTACTTTCATTTTTTTGCAATTTACCAATACTAACAGCTGGTATATAGCGGCTACTGCAGCTTTGTTGTGTACAAACGGAGAGCTTGTCAAAACAGAAGCAGGCAATTATATATATGCTGATGAATAAGTGAGATTAATGGCTACATGACTGTTTTATCACTACGCTTATTATTGTTATTATTGCAATATTTTTTTGAATAACATCTGCCCGCTGGTATTGTTTGCTGTGAAAGAGAGATGCACGAAAATAATCCCAAATAACAGTGAAATCGGTGCAACATTGATAGAGCCGTCAAAAGTGACGGTGAATTGATTGCAGATGTTTATGATTCATTTAGTGGCTATTGTATGCGATGGCAAACACAATTTTTAACAAAAATTTGGGCTTAAAACAAAAAATATCAAAATGACTGCTAGGTTGCGTCAGCTCCAACACCTTCGTAGCGCTAATCTATTAAATGTCAAACAGAAATAAATAACAATAATATTGCAAATAAAAAATAAAATAAATTCAATTTATTTGCTTGCAGCTGTTTAACCGTTAAAGTGTGAAAGATGATTTCTGTTAGCTGTCATGGCATTGCCGGCGGCGTTGACCACATTGACTTGTTGATGGCGGCGCATCTTTAACGCGCCGTGATTAATGAACGCATGATTAATGGTGAGCAGGTGGGCAACGCTCAAGTGTTGCGCTTTGTCTTGTCTAACGCATTTTTCAATTAATATTTGTTTCTGTGCGTTGTCTTTTTTGTGAAATTGAAATTTAAATACTCAATATGGATTTTCGTTAAAGACGTTTGTAGCACGCGTTTTTGTGACATTGAAATCGCAGTTTTTGCTTCAAAATTAGTAAATTTTCGATACTATTTCATTGTCTTTAAGTGCGTTTGTGACGCATGTGGAGGCATATGCTTAATTTATATAATATAAAAAAATTGTATGTGTACATATGTTGGGCTCGGTCGTTTGTAAAGAATGTTATTTTTTGCTCTGTGATGTGAGCTTAATAATACTTAAAATCTGAAAGGAGTTGGTTATAAGCACGCAGTTTTAAATTTGTGATATTAATTGAACACTTCAGGTATTTCGAATAACTTTTAGGGTTAATACGAAGAAATAAAAATATATATATAAGTTTGTAACCATTTCGATTCGATTAATTTCTAAATTTATTATTACTTATCTTCTTTATAGCTTTCTGGTTTTCATGTCGAATAATAACTAATTTTTATAAATTTTTCGAACACCAATCCCTTCTTCCCTGCAAAATTTCAATTTGAACCTTGGAGTAAGCATAAAATGGTCATTAGTAAATAACTGAGATTGTAAAGGGGCGAATGAATTTTAATAATTATGTATTTGGAATATATCAAAAACTTTTTGCTTAATAAAACTGACATTTTCGATAAATATTAAATTACATATTTTCTAATTTTTTTATAATTTTTCATATCAACAAATTACGTAATATTTTCACAAGAAAATAAATTCCCTCAGACTTTGTAACGAGTAATCAACTTCCGACCAAGCAAAATTTACTAAAAACCGTTCAAACTATAAAATAAGTTTTACCAGGAGTCATATTTGGCAAGATATAATTGATTAGGACGATAAAGTAAAATAATTAAAACTTATATCGCATTCAAGCGATCTTATATTAGAATAGCTATAAAAAAAGAAAAAATAATAATATCATTTAAGACCGTTAAAGTGCGGACATATTCTTTTTCTGGGAGAATACCTTAATATGAACTCTTTGGTGGCGACCTTGTCTATACGTATGTCTAATATAATTTGAATAAAACATTTTCGGTAAAAAATGTTCACAATTTCTTTAAACCTGTTATAGCAATGTTAAGCCAAATTACACTAATGTGCAGTCAAAGTTCAAGAAGTTATGATTTGAGTTTCTAAACTGATCTGTAGGCATAAGACACTCAATATACATGTAATTGAAAGCGGGTTGATTAGATAATATTATATTTGCCCTAAAAGTAGATAAGCTGTCATGGGAAAAATAGTAAGACTTTTTAATTTAAATTTCGCGGTAGAAGCCATTTGTCGAAATCTATTTTTCTTGGTCATTATGAGTGTCAGTGACATCTGCTTGTCTTTCTGAAGTGCATAACGTGCATTCGGCGATTTTTACAATGAGTGGAATTATTCAATATAGAAGTTCCATTAAATTTGTGTACGGAATCAAATTTCTGGGAAAATGTTCTCGCCGATAACTCGAGCAATTGTTTTTGCTTGGTACAAATTATTCAAAAAGTGCCAAGAACGCGTTGACGACGAACCACGTCCAAGACGGCCATCACTAAAATAAAGAATTGGTGCTGGAGAATCGAAGATTAACAGTCGGAGATTTTACTTTCATCGTTGGAATATTGGTAGGATTAGTGAAAACTCTTTTGAAACATTATTTGGGCCTAAGAAAAGTGAAGAACGCTTAGTTACAAAATCATTACAATTTTTCGAAAAATAGCGTCCCGTTAACGTCGGTCACATAATGCTTTCGACTAGCAGGATGTCACAAAACGTATTACTACTGCGAATGAGTCTTGGATCTATGCTTTCAGAAACAGAAGATCAAACGGCAGAACATCATGAAAAAAGTGAGCTGAAGCCGAAAAAACCACGACAAGCAGGTCAAAAATCAAGGTTGTATTGAAAGTTTTATCCGATTATTGAAATGTGGTACACTTCAAATTCCTACCGATCGGCCAAATTATAAACGAGGAATACTTTTTGAGTCGTATGCGGTGTTTGCGCTAAGCTATTCGTAAAAACAGGCCAGAATTATGGGTCACTAATTCTTGGTTTTTGCAATACGATAACGCACTATCTCAAACTGCAATGATTCTTCGTGAGTTTTTCGCAAAATCTTCAACCAATATCATGTCGGAACCATCGTGTTTGCTTGATTTAGCTTCGGGTGACTTCTGGATATTGAGCAAACTCAAGCGATCGCTTAGGGAAAACCGTTTACAGTCAATTGAAGACATTAAACGTGAATTGGTACGTTTATTGAAGGCTGTTCCGGAAATTGACTATAACAACTGTTTCGAGAATTGGAAAAAAAGTTTGTACAGCATACTTAGAGGGGAACGACATAGGTTTTGAAGAATGAATTAAAAATTTTAAAAATATGAAGAAAGTATTCCAATTTTTGCTGCTAAAAATAGATTTACTATTGAAATCTAATGCATATGTGTTTTTTATAAAGAATTACAATCTCAAATATGTGTAAAACAGTTAAAAATTAGTTTCTCAGGAAAGTTTCTAAATGTATGTAACGAGTTTTCCACTTCTAAGACTTGTTTGTGCATATTCCTGCTTACTTAAACTTTTTTCCTCGCAGCTTTGAATGTTTATAAGTATTTTTTGTCGAAATTTCTTTCTTTTTTATATTCAACAATTTAATAGTTTTATTTATATTAATAAAAAACTGTTTCTAATTTCAACTATTCCATTAGCAGTATATTGAGCGTTGGAAAAATTAATTTTCATTGGTTTGTAAATAAGCTGTAATTAATATTTCCGCAGCTCATGGCCTTGAGCGTTAAATTTGGTTTGCTCTTGGAAACCTTATACATTTTTTATTTTAACTTTTTGATATTTTTTTTTAACTTTATGATAATCCTTATAACTTTCTTGCTACTTATTAGTATACATATATTAAGATATCCTTGAGCGCATTTCCGTTATAAGCATTAACCTTTTTCATTTCAATCTTGTTTCCTTCACATGTTGACACCTACCTTTGCCGCGCTGTCCGCTCACACGTACCGCCTGCACTGTTTGTATATCCGTGTTAAGTGCAATTAGCGCCAACAGAACAGCTGACACTTGTAATCCATTAAGCAATTTCCACTTGACCGACATTTTCTTATACATTGCGAATATTTTTTGGCACAACACAATATTTTGCAGTTTTTTTTCAATTCCAAACAAGAATTTTTTAGTGTTTAAAAAATTTATATTTTGCTTTTGAAATTATGCTCTTTTTACGAACAAATAGTTTGTTGCATACACTCACTTCAGAAGTAGCACAATTTTAGAAGCTAATTTAAGGTTCAGCGATGTGGGCGATATCCAACCCTGTTGTGGCACACAAAACAATATTTCAAATTAATTTTTTTATCAACGGAAATATAAGCACATATTTAAAGTATTTTTTTTTTCTTTATTGAAAAGCGCCGAATTTTTACACAAATTAGGCTTTTGTCAAAAGAAAAAATTTTGTAGTTGCTGCTTATTATTATTTTTTCTTGTTTTTATTCCAAAATTTTTTTTTGTTTTTGGTTTTGTGAAATTAGTTCGAGGATATCCGTTTCATTAGGCACTAATCGTTTTCTACTTCGCACCACAATGCGCGCACATTTGTCTAACAAAAAAAAATTTGCCCCAAATTATTTGCAAAATTACAGTTAATTCACTGTGTCCAACTAACAGCTAATCCAGAGTACGAGATACACGCCCCGCGCTTAAGCACCAAACTGAACTCCATTCGCCAAATGGACGAATATATAAAACCTTGCGAATGAACTGGCGAGCGACCATGCAGCGGCGTCTACGCTAGGCGATATTTATCAACAGCAAGCGCTAGCTAGAGCCGATAGAGCTGCAATTCCACTGCAATGCTATACGTGTGCGCTGCGTCAGCGGCGACGCCTGCGCCACCTTCAAAGCGTGCGATAACAGCGAGCTTTGTAAAGAATGCGCGTGCTTTTGCACTCAGCCCCACTCACTTTGGCGGCAGCGTCGCTGCTACTGCACGAGCGCGTCTACGCGGCAACACGCTCCGCAACACAGCTGAGATGTTGGTTAGCTGCATCAGCTTAAGAAGTGCCACAAAGTTGTAGAAAAAGCTTTGGTCACTATCTCAGCTGCCGAGTAGACGACTCGCCACTTCGTACGAACTCAGCTGGCATTCGTACGTGTGCTCGCTGGCTGCTTCGTGCTTTCAATGAATGAACTGATGAATGGCAAACGCAATCGCGGAGCGCAAAAGAGAGCGTGAGTAGCGCTGAGACTGTCTCGTATGCGACGTATGAATATGCAAATTTTGAGCGTCGCGATCGTTGTAATTACGTTGAATGACTGAACTAATTCATTGCGATACATGCTGGTGAATGGCATGGAATTTGTTTGTAGGCAATTTGTATTTGTTTTTGTGTTTCTTATGTACCGTTAGTGCAAAGAGTTGCGGTGGCGCGTGATGTTGCGTGTAAGAGCACAGCCAGAAAGTGAGCGTGAAATCGCATATGTTGTTTTGGCACATTTGAAAGGGAGCGTAAATTCGATTTGCTGAAAACGAAGGACTTAAACCACGAACTTGCAGCAAGGGCACACGAGCCAATTGGCTAGAAATTTTGTAACTTTTCACGCTTTAAATTTGTTAAAATGATTACTTTTAATAAAATGTACTAAAACTACAGTTAAGTCTTTAATGAAGTAAAAGCCGGTCGATAATCTTTTTCAAAGGTTAAACTGTTGTTGTAGTTGCAGTAATTTCCAATAAAACTGATCAAAGTGTGCTTATATGGTATAGGGAAAACTTGTGTGAGTGCGTGTGTTTGTTTTGTTGCCTTTTATTTTACAAATATGTAATTTGTAATCAATCATTTTTTAGGTTTCAAATTTGAAATTTGCTATAATGTTAAAATTTACAAAAGTTAGTTGCTAGTCAGATAAAGTTCCGCTTACATAGTCGGTTTCCATTTTTATTGTTAGTTTAAAATATAAATATGACGAAGTTGATGTGAAATAAAAACGTATAATTAATTCATTTTTCATAAGCTTTTTTCATAAATTCAATAATTATTTTCTGCAACTATAACTATAAAATAGTATTATTCAAAGTATTTCCCATCTGAGGTTTTCCCATTATTCTGAAAAATCGTGGATTCCATCCGAAAACAACTAAGCCAACTTGGTTGAATCAAGAAGGAACCAGTTACTAAAGATCTCAATGTTAAAATTAATAGGCTTAAAAACGACAATTGCTGAAGATTTTCCATTACTGTCTTTGCAAAGGCTATAAAATGTTATAAACATCAGTAACTCAAGTATGACCTATTAAAATAAATGCTGATAGTTGGTTTCCAGAATAAAAAAAAAAACGGAAGTAGTTTTGGATTATTTCGCCAAGATATTCTCACCATATAAAACACACGTAGGTTATCCTACTGTTTTCAGCGAAGGAAGTGAAGAAATTTCATGTTGCACAAGCACTGAGCTATATGAGGAATTCAAAAAACAGCTTACTCCAATATGTACATTTGTAAGTGTATAGTAAAAATTATCAACATTACTATCGCGGCTTTTCATCATAAATACGTGCCAACTTATAGGAAAATTGCTGAAGTTATCATGATTCAAAAGTCGTTAAAACCATGATGAGATATATTTTCTTACACATCCACATCACTTTTACCGATAACATCGATTTTGGGTTTCGAGCTAACCATTCTATAGTTGATCAAATCCATTGAAATACACACATCTTCGCAATTCTGTTCTACCGCGTTTTTGGATGTTGCAAAAGCGTACGAAAAAGCGACGCTGCTTTCGAAATTGAAACTAGTTTTACCGAAACAATTTTATGATACCATAAAGTCGTGATCACCAGGTCGCTTAATACGTTGAACATGGAGACAAGTATTCTATTTTTAAGGAAATAAAGACGAGAGTTGCACAAGGTAGTGTGAAGGTCCCTCTTCAAGACATTTTTCATACCATGTTTGCGTTCTCCATTCATTCGATTTTAGAAGCTCACAATACAGCGCATCTTTCTGATGCCATGAATTACCGAGCATTACTTTGACGTAATGATATTAAGTTTTGCGTTGATTTAGCTGATTGGCCTGGTTTCGCAAAAAACCACTTCTTTCTGCAGCGTTCAAGCAGCATTTTTGATCGTGTTTCAACGTTTCTTGGCTTCAATTCATATTATTCAAAAGAAAAGAAATTAGGTTCAAATTTCTTGTTTTTCTGTGTATTCAGCTGTTTTAGTATGCCTGCTTGAATGATCCCAAAAATTCTACAAACACATCTTACCTTAACAGTAACGATTACTGAGCAATCTTTCCAAATCCTTATTTTCAAACGTTTCTGGCCGCCCAGAAATTTCTTCGTTTTCAAAATCAAAGTCACCATTTTTAGAATCTTACAAATCATATTCGGCACGTCCGTGTGGCCAGAACATGTTCCATATAAATTCTCATTAAAATACCATGACTTTTGGATGAGAATTACGTCATATTAAGGAGTTAAATACAGTAAGAACGCCGAAAAAATTTAATTTTCCTGAATTTTTAATGAGAAAACTTTTAAATTTATAGACCAAAAAATGTGTACACATATTGTAGGATTTTGAAATGTATTAGTAAAAATATTTATTTCAAAAAGCGCTTTGCGGTGACCACTGTGAACTGGATCGTCTGAAATTTGAAAACCAGATTTCGTTAAAGCAATGTTAAGTCCCGCCAGAGCCCATTAAGGAATAAACAAAATAAAAAATTTGAAAAAATGGCGGTTCTCAAAAAAAAAAAAAAAAAAAAAAAAATTCGTACTTAAATTATTCTAAAAAATATTTATTGTCTACAAAATATGTATATTATTTACTAAAATATATATTTACGGAAATGTAAAATTTGGGATTAATCGGCTTAACCGTTTTCGAGTAAAGTTGCTCACCGAATTTGAAAAAACCGTTGCGCTAAAAGAACGGAATGCACTTCCAAGCACTCTGAAAAGCCTTTTCATATTTGCGTGTAACTTCGAAAATATTCATCGGAAATTATCTGCGCGTATTCTTCAATATATAAATGCACATTAAGAAAATAAAATACAAAAAATCGATTTTTTGAATATTCTAACTGTATATAATCCTTAAAGTAATGAAGAAGAATTCCCCGAAAGAATCATTTTCTCAGGCATTAATTATTTATTTAAAATATGAAATTTAATTAAAAATTTTGACTAAAAAAATATTTTTATTCACATTTCAAAACTAATAATTTAAATTAATTTCAGCAAAAAATATTGATTTGGAGTTAAAAAATAATATTTATAGAAATAAATCATTCCTGGACAAACGAATTTTACAACTCTCAGCCTTTGTATTCTTTTTAAATAGGAAAACTCTCAAAAGAGAACTACAAATTTCCAGTAGCAGAGCAATCTATCGACGTAAAGAGAGCATTTACTGAGTGCAAAAATTGTTAGCTTCAAGAGATTCCCAAATACAATAACACAGCAAATGAATTGCTTAGTTCTACGCTGACTGTGCAACAATAGTGACGTTTGCAACCGGCAAAAGTAAGCTTTTACATACACAATGAAGCAAAATTACAGTTAGATATAGTTACATATGAGTGTTAATGTGCGTCTGTCAGAGCAATGTAGTAAAAGCTTTTTGGCTTGCAACATTAGAGTTGATGTATTTTTTTCAGGATGTTTTTGCACTACATCGAATAACTGATAAGCTTTATGCACATGTCTACATATTTTATGGCTGTTAACAAAAAAGTACCATAAATGATAAAAGTCAAATTAAGAAATAATTATTATGCTTGTCAACTGTTGCTTTATTATTGAAATCCCTACTGGTGAATTCTTATGTAGAACGAATTTTAACTTCCTTTCTTCACTCCCAAATGTAACCTAAGCACATATATGCCACAATTTTTCTACTCACATACACAGACATACTTATATAAATATACTTCGCCAAGACACTGGTTTAATTTCCTTCTTTTTTATTTTTATTTCTTTTTTTTTAACTTTGTCTGCTTTGGCGTCGTTGTTTCTAACTTCATTCTATGTTACTTTGTTGGGCACACACACGCATACACATTCGCATATGCTAATTCGCAGATTCTCTCGCTTAACACACTTCGGCAGCGCTCTAGTGAAAACGAAAGTAATTTATATGCACAGAATAATAAAATTTAGATTTTTTATTCGCAAGCTTTTGTTAAAAGAAATGCGTTGTGTGCGGCTGTGTGTGTGTTGTCATATTTTTTTATTCAGCTTCTTCTTTAGCGCGCAGCAGATTGCTGCTAACTGTTGTTTTCATATCATTTAAACTTGTTTGTGGCAGATTCTCAGGCTTTTGTGCTTGAGAAAGTGTTTATAAGTATTTATATGTATATACATACAAAGTATATGTATTTAATGAATTTGTATATATATGTTTATAACTGTCTTGTGTTTCTGCAACTGCTGACTAATATTTGGTTTCCAGGTGACACAATTCCTTTTGCGGCTAAGTTCTTTGAGTTATACATATTATGGTGGGATGGTTAAAAAACGAGTATTTTTTTTGTTTGTTTTTGCTTCGTAATCAGACAATCAAATTTGAACCGTTTGTATATTTTAAACGGTTAGGTTTATGAAAAAATCATACGACACCTTCTTTTATATATAGCTCAAGCAGCTCACGATTTCCGGTCTTCGACCAAGGAACCTCTGGGTAGCCAAAAAACATCCGTTTGATGGCTAGCCAAAGTGAGAAAGCGAAACTTTGTTCTCCA